TTTCTCAAAATCACATAAAGCCATATTATAACATCAGCTGAGATAAATAATAAAATGAAATATTAAAATCACGATGTATCTCGTTGCATTGCGCAAATACGGTTCTAGTAATTTATGAAAAACTTAATTTTTATTAATAAAAAACAGACTCATGTACAAACTGTCCTAAACCGTCGAGCCATAATCAGTCCTTACCAACTCCAGTCTGTCCCTGTCTCAAGCCAAAACCAATTTGACCATCTTTAATACAGACGCACAATTATGTTCAAATAAAACCAGTAAAAAAGTTAAGATCATCAAAATAATACTTAACTGTCTGATAATTCGATCCATAAAGTACTGTATTTTATATTTTAAATAAAAAAAATATACAAAATATATTCAAAATTAAGAAAAAAATACGTTTTATTAGCCATTCATGTTGTGTACACACTCTTGGACTACTGTTATGTATTGTCCTTAGGATTTTTAGGTATATAGTCTTAAACGATATTTTAATTAAATCACTAACTTTTTTTTTATGAGTATAAGGGGTAGTTTGTTTGCATATGAATTATTCTATTTAGAGCTGTTTGACAGTTGTTGAATGGTTTGGTGCAGAATGATTAAAAGCTCTCATGATATAGTGTACAATGAAATATAATTGTTCAGGACGATGAGTTATAATGCACGAGATCTTGTAACACTTACCAATGAGGCCCTATCGAATGAGAAATCCTTCTCCTGTTCCATGAATCCAATTTACATTTATCTCGCGGTAACAAAAATGTATTGTTCTGGGATACATCAAGGTACATGATACAAAATTATTCAGAGGGTTTTAGAACCATTAAAAGGTAAACTTTTTTGTCAAACAAAATTCATCTCTTAGCCTTAACGATTTAGATCCTACATTTGTTTGTTTACCTCTTAATAGTTCCATTAAGAGACAATTTCTAAATCGTTAATGGTGAATTTTGTTTGGAAAAAAAAGTATGTCTCATGATGATTCTAAAACTCTCTGAACGATTTTGTATTATGCACCTCCCTTGACCGTTAAGAGCCATAATTTTATTGTAAACAATTACCAAACAATTACATTTCATTTTATGCTATATCATTAGAACTTCAATTATTATGATCATTTAAATTTTGCACAAACCCATCCGACAACTTACAAGCAAACAACCGTGAATAACTCGTCCCTTGACTATGAGGTCAAAAATTTCAATTCGTCTTTCTTTTACCACTAATCTTTGTTGGATTATTATCAGTACTGGTTTCAATTCCAAATTTCATCTTTCCCTCCTGTTAATGGCCGCCCAATCTTGATTTTGTCATCTCACTTGCTCTACAGTCATCAGCTCATCTTTTTTTATCATTATTTTATCGATATCGTACCAAATTTCGTTTCGTTTGCCTTACTTTTCATGTGGATAATCGGATGAATTTTGCATGTTTCTTGACGCACACGTTTGTTGAAAACTATTCATTAATGATTGTTCGAGTGTGCATGTTTTATTGGTGATGACGATTTACATAATCTATTTCTGAATTGTGTAATAATGAAGTCAAGAAATTCGTACCCCGATTTGGACTTTGACCTAGGTAGGAGGTGATTAGGTGGAGGTTGGTTATTGGATTTAGTGATGGAAGGGACCAACCATTTATGGGAGATGGTGGCAATTTTGAAAGAAGACATCAAGAAACGAGTTGAGAAGAGGGAGGAGAGCAGATGGTGCGACCGGTTGGGACTTCAATTCAGCGGTCAACTTCACGGCCACTGCTTGATCTTAGTGGTGCAGCAATTCAAGGGAATTTTGAAGAGAGAGATCCCACAATTTTGTTGCCTAATCAATCTGATGATATATCACATTTGGCACTGGATATTGGAGGTGATTTTTGCTGTTCTAATTTGGGAATCTGTAAAAACTGATAGTGATTCTGAAAGATTGATTTTGTTTTGTAATTGATGGTGTTTTTTTTTTATTGTTTACTTAATGGAGTAAGAAAGGGAAAGATTGCATGCATAAACTTCCCACCCAAGCCCTTACTAACTGCAAGAAACGAAATTGAAGACATAGGAATTTCGTAGTTTAACAATTTGCATATGGTTAGAGTCCCGGATCAACTAGACTTGGAATATGTTGGAATCTCTCTTTTGGAGAGTAACCTACTCGGGTTCCACATATTTTAGAGAGAAAGTCTACCAATCTAGGGACTTGACACTGCTAGTTAATTTGTACTAGTGTAGCCCCCTCACTCGTCTAACCCCTCTTGACATAGTGGGACAATCTGTGCCTGTCTAGCCTCCGTTGAAGAAGGGGGTATGTTAGAGTCCCACATTGGCTAGACTTATACGTTGGAACCTATTTTCTCTCCTTAAGGGCTATCTTGGGGAGTAATCTATTGTGGTTCCACACATTCTCAAAATCCAAGGTTTTTACTAAGATTCTTATTATATATCTTGTGAATGGTAGTACATGACGCAAGTTTGGTTTATTTTATAATAGGACCAGAGACATAAAGGATAAGACTGCAAAAATAGTCATCCCAACTGTCATAAAACTGTTTTTTTAACAGAATACTGGGGTGCTGGCCACCTGGCCTTTCATCCCTCTTCAATTCATCATAGAGTTGGAGTTATGAAGTTATGCTCTAGTGTACAGTCCTATGAGACTATGTATCCACACCATTGCCTTGCTAATATATATATATGTGTGTGTGTGTGTGTGTGTGTGTGTGTGTGTGTGCTTGTTTGTATATATGGAGGGAGGTTCAGTGGAAACCCCCCCAAAAAATGAAAAACCGACGAACAACATAGTAATCATTCATCTGTACAATATGCACATCTGTAAGTAATTGAAGGTGTCTCTTGGTTTATATGCACGTTTGCATGTTATGCACGTTTGCATGTTATGCACATGTGCATACCGAACAAATTACTTGTGTGCACATGTACATACCGTGTATATGAATGGTTACCAGGTATTCCTCAGTTTTTCAAATTTTTTACGATTTTCCCATGAACCTGACCTTATGTGTGTGTGTGTATATATAGTGTTATGTTGCACTAAGTATTGGGTTTCCATTCTTGTTTTAGCTAATCTCTTCTCATATGCAATTGATATTCTTTGTTTTCAAGTTCATTGCTAGTAAAACCGTCTGATGTTTGTGTTGTCAATAATTTGTACCAGGTTCTCTCATTAAGTTGGTCTATTTTTCAAGACATGAAGACTCTTTATGCAATGATAAGAGAAAGAAGTCTTCCGAAAAGAGATTTGGTGTTATCAATGGTCATAGGAGGAGTTTCCCTGTTCTTGGAGGGAGGCTTCATTTTGTAAAGTTCGAAACAACCAAAATTAATGAGTGTTTAGATTTCATTCATTCCAAGCAGCTTCATCGAGGAGGTATAACTCTTTTTCTTACTCTGTTTACTTCTAAGTTCTAACAGAGCATTTTGTGATCTTTTAGTTTCCTGGTTGTGTATTTCTTACTGAGAGCATTTGGGGTGCGTTTGGTACGAGGGACATAACAGAACAAAATCTTGTTGTCCCACTTGGCATGACATTAAACTAGGACAGGACTGATTGATAGATTACTAAACTACCCATGTCAGATTAAAACACTAAAACCTTCCAGTTCTTTCACCCGCCTACCTCACTCTCGCTTGTCAACTCCTATCTGAGTACCAAATGCACCCTTAGTTTTTGCTGATTTTTCATGTAATTTTTTTACTCATTTTTTTTCCTAGTTAGTGCATTGTAGATTTGTTATAGAGATCGTTTTATATTCCGCATCTAATTTTGTTTCTATCACGTATGACATGGACATTGGTTTCTGCAACCTGCAATTCCAGATGATAACAATGCAGTTATCAAGGTATATACGTGTTCTTTTACTCAGTATCAGATCTTTTTGTGTTCACTTCGGTCATTCCTGCCTATCCCATGATACCAAAATCTACACCATATATTCACTTGATGATCAAGCAAATGGGACCCAAAATCCCATCTTCATTTCTTCTCACACCTGGGGTCTACAAAATGAAAAAAATGTAAATTTGATCAAAGAGAACAGGACCATTTTTGCATCTTTATTGACTTATTAGAATCTTTAAAAGGCTACTGGTGGTGGAGCATACAAGTTTGCAGATCTATTTAAAGAAAGACTTGGGGTTAGCATTGAAAAAGAAGATGAGATGGATTGTCTTGTAGCCGGTGCAAACTTTTTGCTAAAGGTGTCTCTAAAGTCTTTATGTGAACTTTATTTGTTAATTTCTATGACCATGTGGCTAAGATTTATAAAATGACCTTTGCGTAGGCAATTCGCCATGAAGCCTTCACTCATAAGGAAGGCCATAAGGAGTTTGTGCAGATAGACCATAATGAGTTGTACCCATATCTTCTTGTTAACATTGGATCTGGTGTCAGCATGATGAAGGTAGTCTTTTTTCATGTCTTTCTACTCCTTCCATTCCAAATAAGTGCAATAGTTTCCTTTTTCGGTTATCCCAAATAAATGCAATAGTTTCCTTTTTCGGATATCCCAAAATAAATGCAAGATTTCCCTTTTGGACGAAGTTTCAATCCAAACTGTCTTTCACCCACTGGAATCATTGCAAAATCCAGATGTCGTTCATTCTAGTTCAAAAGATTCTTCTATCTTGTCCTTGTTGAGGGATATTTTAGATCTTTGACTAATAGTCATATCTGGGAATGTTCAAATGAGAACTGTATTTTTTTTGAAGTATATAAATTTATATACGGCAAATGCAACAAATAAACTCACACACCCTCCTCACCTTTGGTGAGGTTTGAACCCCTGACCTCATAGGAGGCCAAAGGCTCAGATACCGCTAGGCCAAAGACCTTTTGGTAACCGTAAATATTTTGAGAACCCGAGAACCAACTAATTCATGATGAATAAGAATAACCCTAAAATATTCATGAGTATTATTCATTATATCATTCATTTTCATTATTGATGATATTCATCATTAATATCCATCACGAATAGTTGGTTTCATGGTTCTCAACATTTTTACGATTCTCATTTGAACCTGCCCCTAGTCAAATATATATAATAAACTATGTGCAAAAACAAATTTAAACTGGATGGAGAAATTATCTGTTGTCTACTAAATATCGTATTGCTTGATTGAGAATAAGGATTAGTAATTTTACACATTGATACAGGTTGATGGCGATGGGAAGTTTGAGAGGGTTAGTGGGACAAATGTGGGTGGCGGTACGTATTGGGGTTTAGGAAAACTGTTAACGAAGTGCAAGAGGTGCTCATTTTCTGTCATATTGGTAATTGGATTTCTATTTACATGACTCTTACTAACAATAATATTACAGTTTTGATGAACTTCTGGAGGTTAGTCAAAGGGGAGACAATAGAGCTGTAGACATGCTAGTTGGAGACATTTATGGTGGCTTGGACTACTCAAAGGTAGTATGCATTTTCAAGAATATTTTATGTTACCATGTTTCCGTCTAACAACATGCATGCAAATATCATTTATTTTTACTCCTATGAGGGCTTCATGGAAACAACTGCTCTATTCTCTGGGGCAGAGATCAGGTCTGCATCACCTTACCCTCCCTAGACCCCACCTCCAGGTGGGATTTACTGGGTTCGTTTGGTTTTTTACTTTTGTGGTATGAGTACCTTAACATAAAATGTCATCACAGATTGGACTCTCTGCGTCAACAATTGCTTCAAGTTTTGGCAAGGCAATTTCAGAGAACAAGGAGATTGAAGACTATAGACCTGAAGACATTTCTTTGTCTCTCCTGCGTATGATTTCTTACAATATCGGCCAGGTATTTGATAAAAATTGCTAGATTTTTGTATGCAAGATAGGACATACCAATATGCTAAACATCATGAAATTAATTTCATTGATAAATATAGATGGCAATAAGACAAATAAAGAATCTTGTGCACCCTAATCAATATCATTAAGGGAAATAGCCATTTTCAGGGACCAAGTTCATCTCTTAGCCATTTCTCTCCGGAGATTTCCAAAATATCACATCTCCACAAGTGGCACCTCCGTGATTTGCGAGGAGCTAAAAGACAAAAAAATATCACTTTTCACCCAGGTCCAGTGGCACCTCCGCAAGTGGGTGAAAAGTGAAAATTTCTGTCTTTTAGCTCCTCCGCAAGTCACGGAGGTGCCACTTGCGGAGGTAGTGATATTTTTGAAAATTCCGGAGAGAAATGGCTAAGAAATGAATTTGATCCCTGAAAATGGATATTTCTATTAATTTCCCTATCATTAATTTAATTTCAATCATCAGTATCGGAAAACATGTAACTTGGATTCTTTCTAGAAAATCAAATGTTGATTTTCTCTAGGAGGACCCAAAAAGGTAATTGTTACAATTTTCATGGCATGGAGGGATATTAAATTTACTATTTGTGATGGATCTTATTTGAATTCCATTTTACAGATTTCTTATTTAACTGCATTGCAACTTGGGATTAAGCGGATATTTTTTGGAGGATTCTTTATTAGGGGTCATGCTTATACAATGGACACAATTTCATTTGCGATCCAATTCTGGTACGCTACTAAAGACAATCTAATCAATCTTTTCCTTACCATTGCTTTTGAGATTTTAGCAAATCAATTTAGGAAATTCCTTCCTAAATGCTTCCCTGCTTCAACAAGTGGTAAATGAACTTCTGATAGTTTAGAATTTTTTATATTATATTAGGTCAAAAGGAGGTGCACAAGCTATGTTTTTGCGTCATGAAGGCTTTTTAGGAGCTTTAGGTGCATTTATGAGCTACGAGAAACATGGGTTGGATGACTTGATGGTCCATCAACTAGTTGAAAGATTTCCAATGGGTGCACCATATACTGGAGGAAAGATCCATGGTCCTGCATTGGGGAATCTAAATGAGAAGGCAAGTATACGATCAATTGAACAAAATGACATATTGACATCATATGATCAACCACCCACATGAATCTTTGAAATTCGACATAGATGGTTATTGGTTATTGTTTATTGGGTTATACCGTTATACTTCATGTTCTTAAGCATTATTGTTCTCTAACCAACCTAAGATTTTAGATCAGTAGCTGCAACGATTAAAGTGGCAAGTTCTTATATGAATTTTGAATGCATTTATGATATAATGTAATTATTCTTATATTTGATGCTTACAAATAAATTGTGAAGAGTTTTTTTTAGTTGTTTATGGTTGTCCTTATGCTTTTTCTCATAGCCCTACAGTTACATATGTAAAAGAATTACTGACGGAGGATCAAATCAGAATTACAATAGAGAGGAGGAAACACTATCATAATTTTCAAAATATTTGTAATAATTCGAATTGTGCATGGGAAGATTACGTAATTGGATCTTGGACCAATTGGTAAGGCTACTCCTTTGTGCAGCATGGTTTTCTTACGGTTGTTGGTGAACTTTGATATATTTTTTCAAGAATATACACCAAGTGGAATAGATTCAAAGCAGAGAGGGGTTCTTTGGAATAAATTCTATTTATGACCCCACTCTCCACTAATAAAAGAAAGAAAGAAAGCTGCTTCCCTAAAAGAGAATACGTGCTTAAAACAAAACACTGGGCCATATTGATATTGATAATTATAGATCTAACAAGGTGACAAGTGAACTACCAATTGTGCATTAATGGATGAGAGGGAAATGACCAACAAATTATAATTGGGGCCTTGTCCAAACAGGTGAGATGATGTATATAAACAACCCATGTGGCAATGTTCTCTTTTGGAGCTCATGTGCCAATTTATGTGAATTTCTTCATCACATATTCTCGGTAGCATGATATGTCAATTTTGAACCATCTCAATTGGATTCTGTTATGGATTTCGGTAAGACATATGTATACAACCCATGTGGCAATGTTCGTTTTGGAGTCTATGTGCCGATTCATTTGAACTTCTTCATCAAATATTCTTGGTCACATGATATGCAAATTTTGAACTATCTCAGTTGGATTTTGATTCAGATTTTGAATATTTCAGGTCATTCTGTCACTTGTTATGTTAAGTTGTTTGTGTAATTGCAACCTTTGTATATAATATATGTGTGTGCTTTTCTGTGACAGTAGATATGTTTTCTTTTTTGTAAATTTAGAGCATTAGTTGAATGCTTTATTTTATATGATTATCGATGTGGTCTTGTAAGTATATGTACCTGTATCTAATTGCAGATATCTTGGATGGAAAAGTTTGTACAAAAGGGAACTCAAATTACTGATCCTGTTCCGATGGCTTCTCCAAGAACCACTGGTCTAGGTGGCTTTGAGGCTCCATCATCAAAAGGGGATACCTTACGTTCGGATGAAAGTAATTTGAATGTTGGTGTTCTCCATCTAGTTCCTTCTTTGGAAGTTTTCCCCTTGTTAGCTAACCCAAAAAGGTATGCAAATTACTCTCGCTTACATGCTGTCTGAAGTATGTATGTATGTACGTACGTACGTATGTATGTTTGGAAGTCGTCATCTCCTTTATGTGGGTTTTTTTTAATCCATATGGTAGTCTTACCCCTATATGTTTTTTTATATACAAAAATCCATAAACTAATATAAACTCGTTTTCCCCTTTCCCATGAAATAAATTGTTGAAGTTTGAACTTGTGCTCACCGTAATATGAATAATTTCCTCTAAGAATTGTTACAAATAAATATTCGTATGCTCTCAAAAACGGGTTAAATAATTCTTCATAACCTATATAATGACTAGAAATGATGATTAAGAGTGGACCTTATACCATATTGAAGTGTAGTCGAGTTTCTTAAAAAACTGTACAAATTATCATGCAACCAAAGTTTTTGGATATAAAGGTTGTTCAAAAGATTTAAATGCTTTGGGTTCATTTATTACGAGAGAAAAAAAGAAAGGTTGCTACTAGCATTTGCTTGTGGAAGGATAGAGTACTCTTTCTTGGCCCTGATGCTTTTACGTTGCCTTGTTTTCAGCTATGAACCAAACACTATTGATCTCGCAGATCCCAATGAACTTGAGTAAGTTTTAAGTAACTATTTTTTCTTCGATATGAGAATTTTTATTCTTAATTTAAATGTCTTCTCGATGTAGATATTGGTTCACTGTGCTATCTGAACATATACCAGATCTTGTTGATAAGGTAAACGATTCCTTTTTCGGGTTTGGAGCGTTCTTAAACCACCAAGCGAACCTTATTTTGATTATTTCAAAGGATAAAATCTTAACCTTTGGCGTCCAATTCCCATATAGCATTTTCTAAAGCTTGATAAAAAAGTATGCTCAAGATTAACATTCTCATATTGAACTTGATGTTGAATATGCAGGCAGTGGCGAGTGAAGGTGGAACAGATGATGCTAGAAGACGAGGTGATGCATTTGCTCGTGCATTTTCTGCTCACTTGGCAAGGTACTACAAATCATATACATATATGTGGGAAGTCGGAATTAAATTCCTCTGATGTTCATCATAACTGTATACTAGAATGAACCTTCTCCTAATATCATTTTAACCATGTTTCTTTAGTAGATTGAAGCTTTAAACCACACCAAACGAGACCATCCTGTTCGAAGGTGGGATCGGGGTGGGTGAGATGTATGCAGACCCGTCATTTACCCAAAGATTAGGGCGATTGTTTCTATAAAGACCCCCTACTTGTGAAAAGTGTGAGAGGCAACGAGATCTTGCCCTTACCTAAAAATACTTGAAGAGGGAAGTAGGAAAAGAAAATAATCCTAGTGCACTCTTGTAAACCAGAAAAGTTCAAATTTTCTATTTCATGGTCTGGGAACACTAAGGGCCAGTTTGATTTGACGTAATGTTTTTGAGGGATTTGGATTTCGTGGAAGGTTTTTGAATCTTTGGTGTATTTGGTTTGTAGGACTTGGAATGGGATTTCTAATTTCCATGTTTGTGGGATTTCAAGTCCAGACTTTCCTTTAAACCATCCCAGAAACCAAACGGGCCCTAATGGTTTTGTTAATAGAAATGGGTGGATAAAGGCTAGTCAGATTCTGAAATCTTAAAAAATTCATAAGCAGTAAATGAATCCCACATTAAATGTGTTTCTAAACTGCGGGTTAAGTATTAAAATTTGCACCTTTTGCAGCCAGGGGCTACATATTTTATGCAACTTGTGAAATTGTAATGACTTTGTATGTATGTATCTCTGCTTGTGCGCACAGGTTGATGGAGGAGCCTGCTGCATATGGGAAATTAGGACTCGCCAACCTTTTGGAGTTGAGGGAAGAATGCTTGAGAGAGTTCAACTTTTTTGATGCCTATAGTACTATAAAACAGAGGTATCAATCTAGGGAGATGAATCTTTAATTAATGTTTCTTTTAATTTGAAACCCATATGAATTTTGTGTTCAAAAATCGGGAGTATATCTGATATACCCTTTAGTTATGACCAAATGGAGGAACTTTGTGGACCAAAATCTTCCATTGATATTTTGTGATGATTAATGTGGACAAAAGATATAGTTTTCGGATTGAAACTCTGCCAAAAAGGAAAACATCACATTTATTTTGTGACGAGGTTATGATTTGTAGACTTTATTTGATTTCATTTGATCTTTTTCCTTCCCCCAAATATTTGGATCTTATCAGGGAGAACGAGGCGTCGCTTGCTGTTTTGCCCGACCTTCTCATGGAGCTTGATAGTATGAGTGAGGTATGATCCCAATTTCTAATACATCTTTTGTACTGAATTACCTGATAGAAGTGATTATGAAACCAAAGGAATGAATCGAGGAAGGAGCCAAAAGTTTTCCAGCTGCACATGTCAGTAATTTTGTAAGTTTAGATATATTAACTTTTAGGTGATCTAGAGAACTCACGGACGAATAGAAGGACTAAAATGATTCTCACCAGGCGAGACTCCGTGCAATCGGACATGATCGGTTCAATACGGATTTCCAAATAGTATGGTGCAGTTTTCATCCAAAAGTCGAGCACTTAAAAAGAATTTTAACTTGAAACAATGAAACGTATTGATTGCAAATTTGAAATGTTGTACTACGATTATAGTTCAGCATATTTGAGCAAAAGATTGATTACCGGCAATCCTGACCGACCCCATTGGGGAACCTGACCCCTAGGAACCACATGTGAGGAGGCATTTCAGAGCTGACTCAACGGCTGAGGCTAGCAGAGGGGTTCAAGCCCGTCTCGCGCATGAGTCGAACTTGAACCTGTTGTGTTTTTGAACAAAGTCGCTCCACCTCTTTGCAATCTGAGCTACATGCCTAAGGGCTTTAGTTCAGCATATTTGTGCAGTTTATCCTACTTTTTTTTATCACTTCTATATATGTCAAGAAAATGATTCCAAGATCTTGATGGAACCTGAAATGGAATCACCCTGAGATGAATACTTTCGATATTACTTTATTTACATGTCGTATAACATTATTGTATCTTAGTTTATGGAAATGTCTTCTATTTTTAGGAAACAAGACTCGTTACCTTAATTGAAGGTGTTCTTGCTGCAAATATCTTTGATTGGGGATCTCGTGCTTGTGTTGACCTATATCACAAAGGAACAATTATCGAAATCTATAGAATGAGTCGCAAAAAGATGCAAAGACCTTGGCGGGTAAGTGGATTTGAACATATTCTCATTGGTAAAGAAAATAAGTCCAATATGTTCAACAGATTACTCCTTCCGTCCCAAAATAAGCGTCCACGTTTCAATTTTAGTTTGTCTCAAATAAGTGTCCACTTTTCACAAAATAAATACTTTTTGGGTAGATGTTTTGTTTTGTAAAAATGGGTATGCCCCTTTAAGATTTTTGCAAGTCCTTTTTATTTTTCTATAAAGGTTTTCTGGGGTTCCGTCCCCTTTTCCAAAAAAAAGTGTTCACTTTCAAAAGTAAGTGCCTACCTTCCAATTCTACCCTTACGATAAGATGGAGAAATTCATTACTCCCCTCCATTTTTGAGGGTTAAATTTTCGTTTATCTGATTAAAAAGTAAAAACTACACATTTCTAAAACATTGTCTTTTTCATTGTGGACATTTATTGTTGGACGGAGGGAGTATTTGTTAATAACAAATAAGGAACACAAATGCCTAAGTGCATGTATTGCAGGTGGACGATTTTGATGCATTTAAGGAACAAATGGGTTTTGGAGCCCAAAAACCTCAACGTCATAAACGGGCATTGCTCTTTGTTGACAACTCTGGTGCTGACATTATTCTAGGAATGCTTCCACTTGCACGAGAATTCCTACGTCGTGGAACTGAAGTAAGGGGCTGTTTGGTTGGTTTTTCATCAAGTTCTATATGGATAAAGCTATTTGTGGGGATTAATATGTCTGTACAGGTTGAGAAGGTTTTTGTTTGAGAGGGTTTTTCCTAGATGGAAGGAGCGTGTTTCTTAATTGGGAGGGGCAGGTTTGGAAAAACTTGGCTTTAAAGCTCCCCCTAGAATCTTACTAGATAAGCCACTTTCTATATCATTAAGCTACTACCAAACAGTCATGTATAGCTGACCGAATAAGTTGTGAGTCCCATTAAGCTCGTTAAGCTGCTAACAAACAGGCACTAAGTCATTTCTAAGTTGAATGCTTTCAAAACAATTTGATCGAAACATGTTTTTTTACAGGTTGTGCTGGTTGCAAACTCTCTTCCAGCACTAAATGACGTTACTGCAGTGGAACTTCCGGAAATTGTTGCCGAGGCTGCCAAGGTATGCTAAAGTACTATTACTCCCTCTGTCCAAAATAAGCGTCCATATTTCTATTTTAGTTTCTTCCGAAATAAGTGTCCATTTTCAAAAGTAAGCTTCCACTTTCCAGTTCTACGCTTATTTATGAGATGGAGAAATTCATTACTGCCTCCATTGTTAAGAGTAAAATAGGCATTTAAAGCATCTCTATCAGATTCTCCAAAATGGAGATATTGGGTAAATTTTGCTCCAACAGATTCTCCAAAATGGGGAAACATGAGAGAATGTATGAAATTCTCTAAACTTGGAGAACTCCCCAAAAATGATTACCGTGAGAGAGAAACAATTTTTTATTATATTTCCACCAATAAGAACCTTGATTTTAAAAAGTTTATGTGAGAAAAAATATTTTATTACATATATACAAGGTTTTAATAATATAATTAAGAGTAAATTACGATTTTCGTCCCTGTGGGTTCATTGAATTGCTATTTTCGTCCCTGGACTAATTCTTACCTTTAAGTACAAGGGATCAAAACGGTAAAGAATTGTAAACCACAGGACCGTAACAACAATATATTGTAAATTGTGAGGACGAAAAAATAGCAATGAACTACAAACCATAGGGATGAAACTGCAATTTCTAAACCACATGGACGAAAATCGAAATTTTTAACAAACCACAGGAATGAAAATCATAATTTACTCTATAATTAATGTTGTAATCTCTAAAAGTCTAAAACAGAGAATCTGTTGGAGTTGTATGCAACTTCTTTTTTGAGATTTTGATTCTCCGTTTTGAAAAAACTTTGGAGAATCTGTTGGAGATCTCTTAGTTAATTATAAAGTAATAATTTCATATTTCTAAAACTGTGTGCCTTTTACATTGTGGACGTTTATTTTGGGACGAAGTGAGTACATTTTGGGGACATATATTGTATCATATATGACCCTCCATCCACAATAGAAAGTAGAGTTTGACTTTAGAGGTCAAATAGACCAAGTCCAAATTGCTTTTATGGCAGCTTCCTGCATTTAAACTATGCATCTTTTTTGTTGTATTATTGGGTAAATTTTTGGTGGCCAATTTCTAATATAAATTATGCAATGACCATCATAAACTGCAGCATTGTGACATTCTCCGGGGAGCTGCTGAAGCTGGCGGTCTACTTGTTGATGCAATGATCAATATTCAAGAAGGTTCAAAACAGAAGCCATCTTCAACTCGTTTAATGGTTGTCGAAAATGGATGTGGGAGTCCGTGCATCGACTTGAGGCAGGTTAGCTCTGAGCTAGCTGCTGCTGCAAAAGATGCCGATTTGGTATGTTGCTTTGATATAAACACATGCATGCTATTATTACTCTTGTTTTCTTCATCTTGGGATTGTGGATTATGATAGCTTCTTTCCACCCTTTTTGTTAATATTGCAACGGTGAGAATGTGGAGCCCTTAGATTACTTTCCAAAAGAGTCTTTTCGGAGAGAAGGGAGGTTCCAACGTAAATTGAGGAGAATAGGTCCAAGTCTAGTGGATAATAGGAGGCTAGACGGGCACGATTGTCCAAGAGTGTTGAGAGGGGGCTAGACGGGAATAGATTGCCCCAGAGTGTTGAGTCCCTAAAATGGTAGATCTTGACTCTGATATCATGGGAGAATATGTGGAACCCCTATTACTTTTCAAAAGAGTCCTGTATGAGAGAAGGAATGTTCTAACATATATTGAGGAGAATAGGTCTAATTCTAGCCGACATGGGACTCTAACACACCTCTTCTGACGGAGGCTAGATGGGTATAGATCGTCCCAGCGTGTTGAGTCTCTTGAGTGGTAGACCTTGGATCCGATACTTTGTGAGGATATGTGGAACCCCCGTATAGCTTTCCAAAACAGTCATTTGTGAAAGAAGGGAGGTTCCACATATATTATAGGTCCAATTTAGCCGATGTGGGACTTTAACACGCCCCCTCTGACGGAGGTTAGACGGGCACGGATTGTTCCAAAGTTGTTGGGATAGGGCTAGACGAGTACAAATTTCCCTAGAGTGGTAGACCTTGACTCCGATACCATGTAAAATCTTAGGGCGCGTTTGGTGTCCAGACAGGACAGAAGAGGCAAAACAAAACAAGTAAAATGACCAATTTACACCTAATGAATTGTTTATATATTTTTCGTCAAAAACAATTAAAATGAAACCATAATAAAAGTTTATATGGTTTCCAATTTTTATATTATCTCTAATCTACGTTATTTATTATTATCAATATATAACAAATTATATAAATTAATAAAAATATATAAACCATATAAAAATAATATTTTGAGGATAGTAAAATGAAAGTTTAAAAAGCATAAAACACAATAAATAAAATTTAAAGAATGAATAAAATGTAAAAAGGAGACTTATTTGATGTTTTAGAAGAAAATTAAGTTTTATTTTGAGGTTATATTGGTAAAATATAAGTCTGTTCCATCTTGTTCCACCCTGTTCCATGCGGTAGGGGTGGAACAAGCTTGTTCCACATAAAAGTCCTACCAAACATGGAACAAAGATCCCTGTTAGTTGTTATGTTATGTTATGTCCTGTGTAGCAAACGTACCCTTAACAACTAATCTAGTAAAGGATGAGTCATTTGGTATATCATTTGCTCGTGTTTCTTAACATACAGGTTGTTTTGGAAGGCATGGGACGAGCTTTGCACACCAATTATGATGCCCGATTCAAATGTGATACTCTAAAGGTAAAAAGGAAAAGGTTCTTCCATCATATGTTACTATTGTACTGCTTCCAAACAACCAGCATACTTCTTATACTGCAAAAATGGCGTTTTTGTGAAAATGTGATTGTCGGAAACTAAGTTCTAAATGCAATGGTGCAACACTAATCTCTCATAACCTTGAGGGCCAGTTTAACCGACAAATAAAGACTTGATCTTGGGGATCTTTCTCATATGTCGTGGGTTCAAGACTCCTTAGGGTCGATGGGGATTTTCCTAGCTGTTATCTTCAGGGTCCCGTGGGATTAGTCTAGGTGTACGCAAACTGGCCTGGGCACCCACTATTACAAAAAAAATCACTAATCACCCTTTACATTGCTTTTCAGATAGTGATTTGATCTTGTGTGATTCTTGAAATGTTAACCGTTGTTTGTTGGATGAATATTTTGTAGCTTGCGATGGTTAAGAATCAACGGTTGGCGGAGAAGTTGATCAGAGGGAATATATATGATTGTGTCTGCAGATACGAGCCTGCGAGATAGAAAACCTTCTCCTTGTATCGTTCGACTCCTGTCTTGATTAACATCTTTAAGATCTTGTATTAGAACGCCGTATTCCGACCTTTGTCTATAGATTTATTTTAACATCTATAGAAGGGCATGTACATTTCAAACAAATCATGGGTGCATGCAATATTATTCACAAATGAATCTTGTAATTGTTGTTGTTATGCATCTTCTTCCTTTGAAGCTTTTCACTTTCTATGTTATGGTTTTTGTTCGGTCTTCATGGTTGGTTGTCCGGAACTGTGGGTATCCGAGTCAGCTTAACTGTTAGGAACTTCGTTCAAATCAATAATCGATGAGAAAAATTATCCTTTATCGATCACAATGTGATTTATCACCGGATTAAGAAGCTCAAAGGGAACGTCCTCTGCGAGTAGTGATGAACATCTGTAACCGGTTATGGTAAACCAAGTATTACTTGATATATTAGAAGTATTCAAAGCCTCTGTCGTGCAGCTCAGTTGGTAAAGAGGTGGAGTGACTTTGTCCAAACACAAGACATGTCTTCGGTTTGATCTAGGGCTCTCCCGCTAGCCTCCACCGTTAAGTGACCAAAGAACGTGCCTCACACTGGTGTCCTTAGAGACAGGTTCTGTGTGGGGCTGGTTGAAGTTGTCGATAATCAACTTTTTTTGCTTAAAATATTAGAAGTATTCAAAAATGGTACTACACAGTGTCACAGTTATTCGGTATATCTTATCCTACTACGTGTATCTATACTATCTTATAATTTATTTGGCTAAAACTCTTAAAAACTCTTAAAACTCTTAAAAACTCTTAAAGACAACCTCTATTGCTAATGGTACAACCTATTAAAGCCATCCCTAAACCCTATACGATTTCATTCCTATCTGATTTCATCGCCAACAGTGTCACAGTTATTCGGTATATCTTATCCTACTACGTGTATAATGTTTAAACATATTTATATAACAACAATGAAACTGAAATAACCGGAAAATTGTGATAATTCACATTAACAAATTAACAATTTTTAGAGTGAATTACATGTTTCGTCCTTATGGTTATATATGTTTTTAACAATCCTTGTTCTTTTCAGAAAATTTAACAGATTGTCTCGTTGTGGTTGTATCTTTACAATGAGTTGAGTACTTAATGCAACAATAGGAACCCAGGTTGTTGATTTATTTATGGATTGAACCCGTTAAATAATTACAACCACAGGGACCAAACTCGTTAAAAAACTGTATCCACAAGGGTGTAACTCGGTAAAAAAACACAACCACAAGGACAAGTTCCATTGAATTTTCAAAAGAGGGACAAGGACCGTAAAAAACACCTAACCACAGGGATGAAACATGTAATTTATTGTTCCAATCTTATGGAATTAGATATTTGGATCTAATTTTATTCTGTTTATAACAGTTGAAGCTTTTGAACACCTTAAGATACTGATATGCACCTTAAGATACTGATATAGTGAAAACAAGATGAACCACAATTTCCGATTCTCACCGTTGTTTGCCATAGGTTTACCAATTGTCTAAGCTAACACTATAGCTTCCGAGTCTGTATTTTTTTTTTGAAAACACTTTGATTACACTGGAAATGCTCAAGGTTCGTGTTCTCTCAAAGATTAGCTGAATAGCTACGATCAGATACACAATAATTTAAGATTGAATTTTCTTCCATTGACGACAATATAACCCACGAAGATGGAAGCCAGTATTTAAGAAATCCACCATCAGGAGACGATGATTTAAAGGTGATACTCAAAGTTAACGATGCTGATATTGAACCAAAGGATGATGATAAATATGAGTTTTGAACAATTTCGGTTTTCATATATTAAATATTTAGTATTTACGATTATTGAAGCAGAGAACTGGAACCTTCAATTTTAATTCATGTTTCATTTTATTTACTGTCCATCTCAGTTTTATTTTATGGTTTTGTCTGGTTATCAGAGCACGAGAGAATCTTCGGTTGGTTATCTGTTTTATGCAATATTATAGTGTATCAGTATGACTCAGCATTCATCATTTAATTTTATATTGTCTAAACATGGAGTTTTAAGAAGCTGTACGTATACAATAATAAGTTGTAAACTTGAATTTTAAGAGTTTCTGAACATTAATGTCCCTCATATGAGGGGGACATTCAGGGTTTACCAAATTCGTAACGAAATTAAACCACAATGACCCAATCCATAATAAATTTGGTCAGAAGACCCGATCCATAATTATATATATATATATATATATATATATATATAGGGGCCTATTTAAGGAAGAACTGAGTTGTTTGTGGTAATTGTGAGAACCAATATTAACCACAAATCAATAGATAAATTAGGAAATTTATAAATTTGGTAATTTTAAATTAAAATCTTAATGCAAAGATATTTTTGGTATTTTACAACTCTCCTCCCTCCTCTCTTCTCTCTC